TGCAAAGAAGGAAAACACATAAATGACCAAGAGGGTCATTACAGCATCCACTACTAAAAAGGACTTTAGTCCGTGAAAGTAAGGGTCAAGAAGTACCTGAAGGCTCAAACAAGTCGGGAAACTGCTCTCACATCTCTTGCTCGGTCTCCCAGGTAGCCTCCTCGACTGGACGATGCCTCCTCAACTGCATCATACTGGAGAATATGGGACTCATCATGAACATACCAGCACAACATCGAGACATGGAAGACCGGGTGGATGGTTGAAAATGCTGGAGGTAGGGCCTACTCATAAGCAACCTCCCCAATTGTCCGGAGTATCTCAAAAGGCCCAATGTACCTGGGGTTAAGCTTGCCCCGCCTCCCAAACCTCATCATGCCCTTCATGGGCGACATATAGAGGAATACCCGATCACCAACAAAGAATCTCAAAGGTCGACGCCTTTAATCCGCATAACTCTGGTGCCTACTCTAAGCCGTTTTGAGTATATCCTGAATCACTCTCACCTGGTCCAAAGCCTCCTGAATCAAATCCGTACCCTACGGTCTAGGCTCTGCAGACTCAAACCAGCCCACCGGAGAGCGACAACGCCTACCATACAAAGCCTCGAACGGGGCCATCTAAATGCTAGAATGGTAGTTGTTGTTATACGCAAACTCTGCCAAAGGCAAGAACTGGTCCCAATGACTACCAAACTCCAAAACATATGTCCGCATTATGTCCTCAAGGACCTGAATAGTATGCTCCGACTGACCATCAGTATGCGGGTGGAAAGTTGTGCTAGGGTCAACCCGGGTGCCCAACTCATCCTGAAAGTTCCTCCAAAAGCTAGATATGAACTGAGAACCCCGATCTGATATAATAGAAACTGGCACCCAATGAAGTTGAACCACCTCCTAAATGTAGATACGAGCCAACCTCTCGGCGCTAAATGAAGACTGAATAGGAAAGGAGTGTGTTGACTTGGTCAGTCGATCAACGATGACCCAAATGCTATCAACACCTCTAGAAGTCCGCGGTAGGCCAGCCACAAAATCCATAGTAATGTGGTACCACTTCCACTCTGGAATGGGTAATCTCTGAAACTCACCACCAGGCCTCAAATGCTCGGCCTTTACCTGCTGGCAGCACAAGCAACGGGAAACATAGTCAGCAATATCTCTCCTCATGCCACTCCATCAATAATGTTGCCTCAAATCACGATACATCTTCGCTGTGATCGGATGGATAGAGTATCTAGACTCATGGGCCTCACAAAGTATCAACTCTATCAAATCTCCAATTCTCGAAACACCGATGCGGCCGACGAATCTCAACACTCCATCAGGATCTAAGGTATCCTGAACACTATCACCCGCTAACACTCGATCTCTAAGGGCTACTAAGGCCTCATCCTCAAACTTGAAACCACATATCCCATCAAGCAAAGAAGACTGAACTCCCATATAGGCCAAGACGCGTCTAGAATCTGAGATATCCAATCGAACCATGCTATTGGATAAGAACTGAATGACCAAAGCCAATGGTCGCTCCTAGACAGATAAGAAGGCTAGACTACCCATACTCACTGCCTTCCGACTCAAGGTGTCTGCTACCACATTCGCCTTGCCTAGATGATAGAGAATAGAGAGGTCGTAGTCCTTCAAGAGCTCAATCCAACGACGCAGCCTCGAATTAAGGTCCCTCTGGCTCATGATGTACTGAAGACTCATGTGATCGGTATAGATAATCTTAAGTGCAAAAACTACTGCCGCCAACTCCCAATCATGGGTGGGGTAGTTGCGCTCATGCAACTTAAGCTTCCTTGATGCATAAGCAATAACCCATCCTTACTGAATCAATACACAACCCAAACAATACCAGATGCATCACAATAAATGGCATCTCCCTCAACTGAAAGAGTCAATATAGGAACGGTGGTCAATAACTCTTTGAGCTTAAAAAGCTCGTCTCACACTCCTCTAACCAAACAAAGAGAACATCAACACAAGTCAACTGGGTCACAGGTGTTGCCAAGGTAGAGAAATCCTCCACAAACCGTCTGTAGTAGCCTGCTAGTCCGACGAAGCTTTGAATCTCAGTAACTGAGGTGGGCTTATCCCAATCACGAATAGACTCAATCTTTGCCAGATCTACCATAATGCTCTCCTTGGACACAACGTGCCCCAAGAACGCTACAGAGTTTAAACAAAACTGGCACTTCAAGAACTTGGCATAAAGCCATTGATCTCTCAAAGTCTAGAGCACGACTCTCAAATGTTGCTAATGATCACACCTGCTCCGCGAGTATATCAAAATGTCATCAATGAAGACTATGACGAATGAATCAAGATAAGGCCTGGACATTGGTGTCATCAAGTCTATAAAGGCAGCAGGGGCGTTAATCAACCCAAAGGACATCACCAGGAACTCATAATGGCCATAACGGGTCCTAAATGCAGTCTTAGGGATGTTCGCTGCCCTAATCCTCAACTGGTGGTAACCGAACCTCAAATCAATCTTAGTGAACACTGAAGCTCCATGTAGCTGGTCAAATAGGTCATTAATCCTAGGTAGAGGATATCAATTTTTCACCATCACCTTATTCAGCTGCCTATAGTCAATGCATATGTGCATCGTACCATCCTTCTTCTTTACAAAAAGAATAGGAGCACCCCAAGGTGATACACTAGGTCTGATGAATCCCTTACCCAAGATATCCTGAAATCCTGAAGCTGAACACTTAGCTCATTGAGCTCTGTAGGAGCCATCCGATATGGCAGAATAAAAATAAGCCGAGTACCCGGCTCAAGCTCAATTGGAAAATCAATATCATGCTTTGGGGGTAGACAGGTAGGTCGGTAGGAAACACATCTAAGAAGTCATGAACAACCGAAGGGACCTCCCTACTCACATCACTCACATAGGCCAAATATGATAAGCACCTGCTAGCCACTAGCCTCCTAGCCTGAATAAAAGAGATAACCCCAACCGGTGTGCTACTGCGAGAGCCCTTCCATACCACCAGAGGAATACCAGGGATGGCTAAGGTAACTGTCTCAGAGAAGAAATCTAAAATAGCGCGATAAGGGGATAACTAGTCCATGTCCAAAATCACGTCAAAATCAACAATGTCAAGAAATATAAGGTCATCCTGGGTGTCACGCCCCTAGATAGTAACCAATCAAGATCAAAATACCTGATCCACTACTAAAGACTCACCCATTGTGGTCGACACATGCAACGACGCTACCAGAGACTCAGAACTCATACTCAAGCGAGAAACATAGTAAACATAAACATACGAAATAGTAGAGCCCCAAATCAGTACTCCAAACATTTTTGGAACACAATTCGGGGCTCAAAACGCAGCAAAACCCAACATGCAAAAAATCCCACACTTTAATCAACTTAAGAAAAAAGCATGCAGCAGGCTAAACTCGAAATTTACAAAAAATCGAAGGGTGCTCAACACTCCTTGAAAACTCCACCACGTAGCCTCAATAATTACAGACACGTGGGACTTCGAATCACCAAAAAACCGAGCTAAAATGAGAAAGATAACACTAATTCAAGAAAGCCAAAACTAAGAACTCGAAAAAGGGCAACATCAGTCTGGTTTATCACAATTTTTACCTCAAACGACATGCACCCAACAACTTATGATCAGTCTACAGCAAAGCCATCAAGAAAACGAAGCTCCCGCACTTCGAATCACCTTATTTGGCTGAGAAATGAGGGAGATATGAGATTTTAAAGTTTTAGAAAGGGTACTGATTTTTCTGTTATAAATAAACCAGATTTCAGCATTTTTTTCGAAAACTTAAAAACTCCGACGGGGTGGTCTGAACTTGTTCAGAACCCCGTGCATGCAAACGAGATATGCAACCATACCAAATTCAATTTTTCAGACTCAATGACGCAGTCAAAATTTTCATACGAGGTTATCTTGATAAAAAGTGGGTCCCACACCCAACCGCCATTTTAAGTCAAAACCACAAAGGGACTCGGAAAATTCTCGAAATCCTCGGGACACGAACAAAGGGTCAATCTATACCAAACTCGACATTCCAGAGCTAACCGCGATGACAGCATTCTCATCCGAGCGCATTTTCTCAAAATGTTGACTAAAGTCAAACTTAGGCCTAAACTTTAAAGTTAAAGCGCGTAATCGCACTGACTCGCACTAGAAACATTGGGAGTCATACCGACCATGCTTCCAGCCTAAAATGACCCTTCTGGAGCTGATGGAATTGTCAGAATTGGATTCAGATGCCATCTTCTTAAACGATGCAAAGAAGCCAAAACACAGAAATGACGAAGAGGGTCATTATAGTAGTAAAGGAAATTTTCTTTCCCTTCACCATTCTCTTGAACTAAGAGTGCTCCAACTGATCTTTCTTGAGCTGATATGTAAAGTATCAATCGATTTCCCGAAAATGAGTTGCAAAAATTGGAGTTTTTGTCAAGTAGGACGTGATGCTCTTGAAAGCATTACTACAGGTTTGGTCTCATTCGAAAAGAGTGCCCTTCTTTATAAGACGACTGAATAGTTGACACTTTCCTACTAGATTCGAGATGAATCTCCTAAGATATGTTAGCTTCTCTTGCAAACTTTTCAATTCGTGGATGTTTCTTGGCTTGGCCATCTTCATAATTGCATATATTTTTACTTGATCAATTTCTATTCCTTGATGTCGTACAATGAAGCCAAGGAATTTTCCAGAGGTAACTCCAAAGGCACATTTCAAAGGATTCATTCTAAGTTGATACCTTCGTAGTAGATCAAACACCATCTGAAGTCTTGCAAGTGATCACTCTTTTTCCTTGATTTCACTACTAAATCATCAACATATCATTCAACATTTTTGTGAAAAATGTTATCAAAGATGTTTTGCGTAGATCTTTGGTATCTTGCTCTTGCATTCTTCAAACCAAAGGGCATTACGTTGTAGCAATAAACACCCTTAGGAGTGCAGAATGCGGTCAACTCTTTATCCTTTGGTGACATGTTGATCTGATTACAGTCGAATGAACATCCAAAAAGACATTGCCTCATACCTAGTAGTGACATCAATCATAAGCTCAGGGATAGGAAGTGGAAATTCATCTTTGGGACATGCATTATTGAGATCCCTGAAGTCAACGCAAACTCGAATTTGCCCATTCTTCTTCCTCACGGGGACAATACTTGAAACCCATGTGGGGTACTTAACTTTATTGATAAAGACAACCTTAATAGGCTTGTTAACTTCAGTTTTGATCACGGGAACCAATTCAGGCCTAAAACGCCGTTGAGCTTGCTTGATAGGACGTGCACTATTTTACACAGCAAGATTATGAACTGCTACCTTCGGGTCTAATCTAGGCATTTCTTTGTAACTCTAGGAAAATACATCTTTATACTCTTTGAGTAATTCAACGTAGTCCTTTTCCTCACCATTTGCTAGTGAAACATTCACATAAGTGGATTTTTTTTATCTTCATCAGTTCCAAGGTTGATTTCTTTCAATGCATCAATTGTCGCCTTTATTCCTTCTTCAAGTTCGGGTGGCGTATCCTTAACATCCTCATATTCTTGAGGTTCTCTATTGTTGAAAGATATATGGTAGCACCATGAAACATTCTCCAACTCTCCATCATTTTTAATTGGAGAAAAAACACGCATTTCATCTTGTGTAGTGACATGATTGAAGAGCCAACACTTTCTTCATCACGTTGCCTGGTGTAGACCACAACATGCAACTTTGCCTTTAATACTTCTCCACATGAATCAATAACGTTTGTTTGCCACCTCATTCTATAAGGGATCAGACTTTGGAAGTCTTTAAGAGCATTTTGAGATTTAGGTAAAGCAAAGGCTTCCATAATCTTGTTGTTTCTTCAAATCTTGTTTTTCTTCCTCAATGGCCCTAACCTATCAAATACGAAAATCCTCTTCATTGGGCTTCCAAGTCGATCGAAGACAGAAGACCTTTTGTTAGAACTAGCAGACTCATCTTCCGCAGTGATGTAGTTTTTTCTTACCCTTTTTATAGAAATGCGGATAGGTGGAGGTTGTTTGTAACCCACCCCTTCACGATGTTGCCTCATAGAAGGTTCTGACAGAAGCTTTCCCAATTTTGATAGTTCGTTAGGATCCAATCCAACCTTTGCTAGTAGTCTATAAGCATTAGGATCGAAGCCTTCTTCTGTACACTTCATTGGGAGTGCTTCATAATGGGATGACTTAGTGGCCACAAATTTTCCATAAAGTAATGACTTAGGAGCCATAGACTTCCTAAGTAATTTTATGGATAACTTCATCATATCAATTTTCCTTACAGGAAAGGTCAACCCTTCTAGTGCATTTTCTCGCAGCTTGAGAGAGTGTCCTTCATGACTTTGGAGCATCTATTGGTGATTGACATGATGGAGTTTCGACCTCTGGAGATGACTTTGGAGCATCTTTTGGTGATGGGCATGATGGAGTTACATCTTTCGCTTCCTTCTCATCGACATTACAACATAGAGCTTTTGTACCATCGAATGTGAACTTCATGTAAAGTCAACTTGGCAAATATTCTCCTAATGTAATTGATCGACGCAACTCTTGGTTGTGGTGCACCTTTATTTCCTTTTTCTTTGAATGCACAATCAAAGCTTTGGTTTTGGGTCTCCTTACCATCTTTTCCCTAATGTGTTGCTTTGTTGACTCCTCATACGAACTCAGTTTTTGGTGTTTACGGCGAGTCACGAGAGTCCAACCCCAATCATCAAGATAATATATTGGGTCTTCATCTTCTTTTGTTGATCATTCTCCTACGGAAGCCACATCACTTAGTATAGGAAGAGACAACAAATTATTTACATCAATGGGCTCAAAGTCTCCAAACTTAATCATTTTTGTCTGATTAATGTTTGGAATGTCTTGCTCCCTATTTCCTTGAACAAAATTACAGGTCATGACCGGATTAGGTAAGTCATAAGAAACACTGACCTGATTTTAACTCAATTCCTCATCTTCAAGTTCAATCTTTCCTTCGTGAGCTAAGTCCATGATTTTATCTTTGAAGACGAAGCATTTCTCGATTGGGTGGCCAACCAACCAGTGATATTTGTAGTATTTTGGATCATCACTACCCCCTTCTTCATTTGGTCGTTTCATCTTTGGTAACTCAAAAACTTTCATCTCAAGGAGTTTATCAAAGATTGCAGAAACATTCGAGTTAAGAAATGGGCAGTCCTTTCGCTGCATTTCCTTCAAGGTGAGTTTTTGATTTGTCCTTACTTCAAAAGAAGCCACTTTTGCGCTCTGCGTATTGCCCACCTTTGTGGTGAATTTCACATGAGAAGCAGTGACATTCATGTATTCTTCATTTTCAGTCTTTGACAAATATTTTTCCACTTTCTTGAATTCTTGTCGTTCTTTACCCTTGTGGAGTTCGTGGATAGGTGGTGTTTCAGTTCCAATCGGCGAATGCTTAACTTCATATCATGAGCGTGAGTGGCCAATTCTTCAAAAGTTTTAGGTTTTATGCCTCGCAAAATATAGCGGAGACCCTAATGCATACCTTGAATGCACATTTCTATGCCCGAAACTTCACTAAGTCTATCTTTACAGTTCATACTTTGATGCCTCCATTAGTTAATAAATTCAATGATCGGCTCTTCATTTCGCTGTCGTGTGTTTATAAGTTCCACCATGCTTACAGTACATCTTGTGCTATAGAAGCGGTTGAGAAATTCTTGCTCCATTTGTTCCCAACCATCAATGGAACCAAACTCAAGGTCCGTGTACCAATCGAAAGCATTGCCCTTAAGGGAGCGGACAATTTGTTTGACGAGGTAATCACCATATGTTCCAGCATTGTTGCAGGTTTCAATGAAGTGTGCCACATGTTGCTTTCGGCTTCCCTTACCATCGAACTGCTGAAATTTTGGGGGTTGATAAACGACAGGCATTTTCAAGCTATCAATCCTTGCAGTGTATGGCCTTGCATATGTCAAAGAGGATTTTGTAGCAACCTCGTACTTGTCTTTAATGGTCCCCATGATGAACTCCTTGATTTGGTTGATCGGGATCGTTCCTTCAGAGGAAACTTGGATCTCTTTAGTATGTTCCACTTGCTTTGTGGGGCGATCGACCATCTCTTGTACTTGCGGATGTTTTCCAGGTGTATGACTTGATTCTTCATCCATCATGCCGTCTACCCTATCAGTTAGCTTAACAATTCGAGCATCTTGATCTTAGGCATACTTGGTCAAGCCTTCAATAGCTCTTGTCAAGCTCACAAGTTGTTCTTCTACGAATGAAGTGTTAGTCCCCATCGCGTGCATTACCATAGTAGGTGATGGAGAATAACATTGATTTTCCCAAACATGAGATGTAAACATGTTATGTGGGGTAGATCCCGTGCTTGAGATATCATTGTCGGCCGAAGAAAAGGGCTTTTTGTATGTAGATAGGCTCAATTGGGCAAGAACCCTCTTGACCATTTCGGCGATGTCTTCTTTTGCGGCTTTTGCAGGAGACTTCACATGTTTTGGAGACAAACCAAAGACAATAGCAGATTCGGACGACACTTATGAGACTTGTTGTCCCAAAATTTTGGCTTGGTTCCTTATGATAGGTTTCATGCTTACCACAATAACATCAATGATGTTTTCCACAGCGATGCAGAATTTGGATCCATCAGTTTTTGTAGATACAGATGTGGATGTGAATCCAAATATGGATATAGATGCAAATGCGGATTTTGATGCAGATGCAAATTTTGATTTCGATGCAGATGTAGATTTTAAGTTGATCTTCTTGGAAGTCATCTCAGTGTTCTTGATCTTTGATTTTTGAAGAGAAAATATGAGCGGTAAAGATTGTGCATTCAAAGAAGGAGGAAATAAAGGTGCACCACTACCAAGAGTTGCGTTGACCAATTACATTAGGAGAATATTTGCCAAATTTGTTTTACATCAAGTTCACATGCGATGGCACAAAAGCTCTATGTTGTAATGTCGATGAGAAGGAAGCGAAAGATGCAACTCCATCATGCCCATCACCAAAAAATGCTCCAAAGTCATCTCCTGAAGTGGAAACTCCATCATGTCCATCACCAAAAGATGCTCCAAATCATCTCCTGAAGTCGAAAATGCATGTATGGCCAAAATCACATTCTCTGACGATGATCTTCAGTTTGGTGACACACTTCATAATCGCCCTTTATTCATGGTTGGTTTTGCACGTGAGAAAAGGGTGAACATAATCCTAGTCGATGGAGGATCTGGAATTAACATCCTTTCGATTCGCACAATGAAAGAACTTGGGATATCAACAACAGATCTTACTAAAAGTCGCTTGATGATCCACTGATTCAATCAAGGAGGACAAAGGGCCATAGGGACCGTCAGAATAGACCTCACCATCAGAGAGTTGCAGTCAAGTGTGTGGTGACATATAATTGATGCAAAGACTTCATATAACATTTTGCTTGGTAGGCCGTGGGTACATGAGAACAAAGTAATCCCATCTACCTACCACCCATGTTTGAAGTATTATGAGGATGGAGTTGCAAAGAGGATTATTGCAGATGATAATCCATTCATTGAAGCTGAATCACACTTTGCTGACGCAAAGTTTTACTTGAAGAAATATTCCATAAAATTTGATTTGAAGCTGAATCACACTTTGCTGACGCAAAGTTTTACTTGAAGAAATATGTCATAAGAGTTGATGACATTGCATCCGGAGATGTCGGACTCCTTAACAAGATGGCTAAGGTAGCTGTCGGTAAGCCAAAAGTCGCAAACAAGGAAGATAAAAGCTTGGCAATCCGAACAAGATGCCTAACGTGAATGATGCCTTTTCAAGTAAAAAGGTGACACCCATTCTTTGTTATGTCCCGAAGGCAAAGAGGACGAAGGACAGTCTCTCAAGTTGCGCATTATTACTCATCCTTTGACATGTGATGTGATCTCATATATTTACTACTCCTATTTCTTATAACTTGACGCTCTGCAGGGTATAAATTTGTAAGATGAGATGACATTAATTGGACATTGCATTCATATAGTACTGGACTCATCATTTGTAGCCCAATAAAATAGACAAGCCATATGAACTTGGAGTTTCTGTTAAATCCACATTCACTATACTTGAATAATTGATGTAATAAATTAAGTTACACAATTTATTTGGATTAAATCTGTATTTAAAATATAGTTCAAATTATTTTTAATCCTATTAAATCTAAATCCCTACATATATATTACTTTACCAAATTTGTTCAAGAATTGTCAACACTCGTATAATATTTCTCAAACGGCCGAATACATAACATCTTTTTATTAATACAAACAAAAGTCCATTTATGCATAAACAGAATCATCATCATCCTCATGATCCATCAACTTCCAAGATCCATCATCTTGTTGTACCATTCCATTATTTTTCTCAACCCACCAACAAGTTGGTACACAATATTCATCCTTCAATGCATTTAAATGCTTATTAACGAGTGAAATATCGCGTCGTACTTCAAGCTTAAATCCACCATTAGCCCCTTGATAACCAGCAACTCCATGCATGTGAGCTTCTAAGCTATGCCAGCTTCTTATATCTCCAGGTACTTTTAAATACTTCGATTTTGTTGTATCAATAGCTAGTTCAACTCCGATTTCAGAGTAGTCTAT